AAAATTGACTCTTTTGACATGTGCACTTCACTGGTATTTAATAAATTCACAAAGTTGTGCTACTCTGACTCATTTTTGTATTATTTATTTTGATGCCTGTGGGCATTTTGTAAGAAGGTGCACCACATGCATGCAGTTTCCATAGGGACAAGAGTTACATGGTTGTGAGCCACCATGTGGGTGCTAGGAAGGGAACTCTGGGTCCTTGAGCAGTCAATGCTCTTAACTACTGCTGAGCCAGCTCTTAAGCCTCTACTATGACTAATTTTTGTTTGTTTGTTTGGTTGGTTGTGTTTTGTTTTTCAAGACAGGGTTTCTCTGTGAAGCTTTGCGCCTTTCCTGAACCTCACTCTGTAGCCCAGGCTGGCCTCGAACTCACAGAGATCCCCCTAGCTCTGCCTCCCGAATGCTGGGATTAAAGGCGTGAGCCGCCGCCGCCGCCAACACCACCACCCGGCTACTATGACTAATTGTAAAATATTTTGTCACTGCTGAGGGACTTTAAGAATATTTTCGTTACTACTATGTACATTAGTGTCTCCTGATTCTCCTTTGCATTCAGCCCCTGGCAACCACTGATTTTAGTATATTATCATACCCTCTCATTTTTGACTTTTATATAAAGAGCATTAATCTTTAATGTAACTCAATGCTTAGAAGGTTCATCTGAGTTATGAAATGAATCAGCAGCCCATTTTTATGAACAAATAATCCTAGTAAAGATATGCTATATTTGTTTCTTTATTATCACAGCATTGGACGTTTGAATTGTTCCTAATTTCTTGGACGTTATGATCAATGCTGCCTTGAACATTTTCACACAAGCTTGTGTGGATATGTTTTCACTGTCTTGGGTTTATGTCTAAGGTTTATGGTAATTCTGTGCTTCAATTTAATGTCTCTCAGTATCTACATTCTACACTCCTACCAACAGTGTCTGGGGGTTCCAGGTTCTCAGCATCCCCCCTAACACTTGGTACTGTCCATTATTTATTTCAGCCATCTTGGTGTATGTGAAGCAAATGCCCTTGTAGTTTGGTTTGTATTGCTGATGATGTTCAACATATGCTTGTGAGCTCATTGGCTGTTTATGTATCATTAGATGAGTGCTGTTCAAACCTCTGTCCATTTTTAATTGGGTTATATATCTTTAATCCTTGAATTGCAAGTCTTTGTGTCTATGTACAAGTCGTTGTTTATCAAGTATTTGCTTCAAAGATACTTTCTTCCATTTGTTTTTGCTGTCTTGATGGTATCTTAATCATACAAATGGTAAAGTCCAGTGTATGTATTACTTTGTCATCTTGATTTTGGTATTGTACATAAGGAAATTCTGTCTGGTTCAGGAATACTTAACCCACACCATATGCATCCCAGGATAGCCATGAATGTGACCAAATACAGTCATCACATAGCCGTGGAACAGGTTGGACACTCCTGGGTCCAGATCAAGAAAATTTAGTCCTATTTCCTTCTAAAAAATTTAGAGTTTTAGCTCTTCTATTTAATTCTCTAACCTTTGTTGAATTGATATTATATATGGCATGAAGCCAAGGTACAAATTTATTCTTTTAAGTGTATCTAATTTTTCCAGCATCTTTTATTAAAAAGATTATGTTTTCTAAAATAAATTTTCTTGGCAGTTGTCTGAAATCAGTTGGCCCTATGTTAGCGTATGGGCTTATTCCTGACCTGTCAAATCTGTAGTGTTGATCTGTAAGTCTTTTGAAGGTACTAGGGATCAAACATAAGGCCAGATACATACCAGTCATGGACCTAACCATTAAGCTACCTCCTGAGTTCCACACCATATCAGGCACTGTAATTTGCTGGTAACTTTTGTAGTTTGGAGTATGTTGTCTAGTTTTTTACTCATGTTATTTTAGCTGTGTGGGTTCTTTGCACTTCTGTGTGAATTTTAAGGCCAACTTAAACTTTATGTAAGAGAAAGCGGCTGGAAGTTTGATGAGGATTGCTCTGAGTACCTTCATCAGTGTTGCGGGTGGGGTGGGGGGGGTGTACTACTACCATCTTTTTTACAATAGAGTCTCAGTATATAGATAGTCCAGTGTAGTGGAACTCATGATCCTCCTGCCTCAGCCATCCAGGGGCTGGGATTACAGACATTTGCCACCACACCTGGCAAATGTTGCATTTTCAGATCCATGAGCATAGCATATGAAGTATCTTTCCACTTGGTTGGAGTTTTAATTCCATTTAGTGGTGGCTTATAGTTCCCAATGTACAAGTCTAACACATAGTTTGTTAAATTTATTCCTAAATATTTTAATTTTTGATGCTATTCTAAATGGAATTGATGCTATTCTAAATGGAATTCTAAACACTTATTTTCTTAAGTTTATATTCTAGTAGTTTGCTCCTATTTAATTGGATTTTTTATTGTAGTGAAATATATGAAACAAAGAAGTTACCTTTTTAATCACCTTAAGTATACAATTTACTAGCAGATTTATTCACAAAACTCACAATGTTCTGTTGCCACTGTTTATTTCACAACTTTTTGGCATTCCCAATAGAAACTTTTTTACCCATTGAGGAATAAATATGATCACCCTTCCTCCCAGACACTAGTAACTTTCACCCCAACTCTACCTATTTGAAATCCTACATGTAAGTGGGCCACTGCATGTCTAGTTTCTTCGGTTAGTATATTTCCAGGTTTTCCCCATGATAGTATTATTGGAATTCCATTTTGTAGCTGAATATTGAAAGGTTTTTTGCACCCCGATAGGCCTCTCTGCCGACACAGCAATCCAAATCAGACCGAATTAGAAAAAGCCCAGGTTTGATGGGTAAAGCGTTCCCGGGAGATTCTCCAGCGCCCCTCCGCTCCCGCCACCCCCCAACCCCCCAGAGAGGAGACAGGGATGAGAGACCAGAAGAACCACATGTCTGTTTTCTGGGACGCAGCTTAAATACCCTGTGGGAGTGGTCTTGAGTCTGGGGGAGGAGCTGTGTTTGGCGGGCTTTGAAGGGGTGGGTTTGGGGAAAGAGATGGAAGAGGGGAGTTGGGGTGGATCTTTCACCAGAACATTCCAAATTCTTTGGGTATAGGGATGCCAGGGTGCCAGGGGCTGAGGTGGAGCTCCCACCCAAACAAATACAATTTCACTAGAGGTTTATACCACATTCTGCCTGCACACTTTTCCGCTGGTGGGTCAGGTGCTTCTTAAACTCTTGTGAAGGAGGCCACCGTGGATATTGGAGTTCTGTATTCTTTTGCATGTGCTCCAGTTCCTCCGCATGTGCGCTAAGGAGTGGGGCTGCTGGACCACATGGCAACTCAGTGGTTAATTTTTTGAGGATTTACCAGACTTCCCATAGCAGCTTCGGCATTTCATGGTGATTTAAATTTTCTGCATCTTCACCCGCACTCTTTATTTTCCTTTGGGGGTACTAAGAGTCACCTTAGTGGGAGCAGATGTTTTGTTTTTAATTGAAAACGAAACTTCATTCCATTTTTAAATGGTAAAACTCGTGATCAGACAGGCATATTGGAAGTATTTCACAGAAGATGAAGAAACGTGGTAAATTTTCTCTACTCACTATTAACTTTGTTTCTTCATCTGGAACCGTTAGATATATATTTATATGTGTGTGTGTGTGTGTGTGTGTGTGTGTGTGTGAAGTTTGGAAACTCTAATTGTTCCTGTCTTTTCCATGGCATTCAAGACAACGGATTCCACTGGCCGAGCTGTACCAGAGAAGGGTGGAGACATTTGTGGGTATTTCTTGAACCCTTCCTTAATACCGGAATGCTCATCAACAACTGTGAAAAAGAAAACAGAAGATTTAAGTGACCTCCCCTCGGAAAGCCAAAGAAGTGTGCCACTGGCTGTGACTGATGCCCTGGAGCATATCATGGAACAGCTCAACGTTTTAACACAGGTGGGTTGACCTTCTGCCTCAGCGTGAGATATGGAGAGCAGGCCTGGGTATAGCGGGATGTGAGGCCAGTGGAGCCAAGAAAGTTTTTACTGGCAAGGCAAACCCAAATAGTGACTAGCAAGACACTTAGGGCTAAGCCATTCCAAGCAAATTTGCAAATTTGTTCTGAGTGTCTCAGAAGAGCTAGTTCTCTCTCTCTCTCTCTCTCTCTCTCTCTCTCTCTCTCTCTCTCTCTCTCTCTCTCTCT